AGTGCACATTGTCAGGCTTTCTTTGGGAGTCACCTAAGAGTCAGTTTACAGCTAGTTATGACCTGTTTGCAACACGTATCAGTTAGGATATAGGCTAAGCTCCTGTAACAAAGAGCCCCAAAACAAAGTGGCTTAGAAAAGAATAGACCTGCTTTTCTCTCTGTGTCTCTCTCTGTCTCTGTCTCTCTCTCTTTGTCTCTTTTGTGGTGCTGGGGATTGAACCCAGGGCCTTGTGCATGCAAGGCAAGCCCTCTTCCAACCGAGCCACATCCCCAGCCCTAAGTGTCTCTTTTTATATCTTAGTTTATAGAAGTGTAGTCACATGTGCTCCATCAATAGAGCTGCGGCTCTGCCAACCTCAGCCTGTGCTTCCGCCTCTGGATCCAGGATGGCTGTCCCAGGTCTTGAAATCCCCAGTCCAGCAAGGAAGGAAGAAGGCCAGGGGGTTCATGAGGGGTGGTGTATTAGTTTTCCAGGATTCTCTAATAAAGTGCCCCCGACTGTGGTTTAATGGACAGAAATGTATTGCCTCACAGTTCGGAGGCTAAAAGTCCAAGACAGGGCATGGGCAGGTTTGCTTTTTCTAAGGACTGTAAGAAAAAGAAATCTGCTGCAGGCCTCTCTTCTTGGCTTGTAGATTGCCCCTCTTCCTGTGGCTCCTCCTCCTGTCTTACCCATCTCTCTGTGTCCAAACTTCCTTTTTTATTGGTACGTTATGATTATACCTAAGAGTGGAATTCACACATGCACATGACGGTTTGACCGATCTCATTCCTTACAACTTCCCTTTCCCGGTCGTCCTCCCTCCCGCAGCCTGCCTGCTCTGCTCTGTCATTGTTACTGCTGGTTAGCGGCACACACATGGTTCACTGTGGTGTGCTCACACATAGAGCAGAATCTGGTAGATTTCCCAGTGATTTTCTACACCTTCCTTCCCTCCTTCCCTTCTTCTCTCTTTATTCCCTTTTCTCACTCTATTGATCTTCTTTCTATTTTCTTTTTTTCCC